TGGTGTTGACGTTCTTCGGTGCCAATTTTGTGGCGTCAAATCACAGTGCAAAAATTTTGTCACCGCGGGGAATCGAACCAAGGACCACTTTCCCACCCCTTTTTTGGCATTCAGAGGGCCATTTAGCGGAAATGGACCACAGTTCTGTACTCCAGGCACATCCCTCTATATCATAGAAAAAACCATTTTGAGAAAGCGCTTCCACGCCCTGAACGACCTCCCTTGTGAGAAGCACGCTATGGATATCATGGAATTGGCGTTTTGACGCCTCTTATCAATCTTCGTTATCACTTTGAGTCCCCCACCAAAGATGTTCCCGTCCCACCCTCTACATCACTTCTTGGAACCAACGCCTCACTGATGCTGGGACGCGCGCTATGGATATCGTGGAATTGGCGTTATCGGATCTTATCAGTCGTTATCACTTTGAGTCCCCCACCAAATATGTTCCCGTCCCACCCCTACAACATACTCAAAATACAGCGCTCCACTGTTGCAGCGAAGTGCGCTATGAATTTCGTGACAAACACACGTACACACATACACACGCACAGACATACCTAGCAAAATATAGGGTATCGTCAGCCTAAAGTATTATATTATTCCACCGCTACACTCCCCTGAGTTCCCAAGAATCTATGGTGCGGGTGTGGGTATTTCCAATCCAACATTATGAGCATCAAATCTTATTCGAGCGCATTTCAAACATTTGATATACCAGTTTGCTCCGCCCGCTATCGCGCGCATCACACGGTAGGCTTCAGCGAAATTGGAGGACCTGTGGAACATCTGCTGATCTACTCCACAAAGCACTCACTATTGGATATGTTAGTCGAATGACCTGAGGTTGGAGGCTCTCCACTTTCATTGATATTGGATGCGCGTGAAAGCGAAGCTGAGCTGGTATATTTATCGCAATTCCACACTCTTCATTATTCTTGAGTCCTGACAATTTAGCGATGAATATGGTTTTGCTATTAGAATCAAAATGAGTATGAAACATGCTCAAATATGGACGCTATAGTATCAATATGAACGACAGTACGAAATTTGGCGATGCTCGCTTTCTAGCCCCTCTTATCAGCTATTATCAATCGCTATCAATTTATATCACTCATCATTTGTGTTCCCATCCCACCCCTATCCTACTATATATAATCGGCTAAGCGGTTGTGTGTGTGTGTGTGTGTGTGTCTGACCGGAAATTCATAGCTCGGGCACCAGTGGTCGTCAGGAGTTGATTTCGATATGATATAGGGGGTGGGACGGGAACATATTTGGTGGGGGTCACAAAGTGATAACGACTGATAAGAGCAGATAAGAGGCGCTGAAACACAAATTTCACGAAATTCATAGTGCGCTTCGCAGCAGTCGTCAGGAGCTGATTTTGGGACATGATATAGGGGGTGGGACGGGAACATATTTGGTGGGGGTCACAAAGTGATAACGACTGATAAGAGCAGATAAGAGGCGCTGAAACACAAATCTCACGAAGTTCATGGTGCGCTTCGCAGCAGTCGTCAGGAGCTGATTTTGGGACATGATATAGGGGGTGGGACGGGAACATAGGGGTCACCAAGTGATAACGACTGACAAGAGCAGATAAGAGGCGCTGAAACACAAATTTCACGAAGTTCATGGTGCGCTTCGCAGCAGTCGTCAGGAGCTGATTTTGGGGCATGATATAGGGGCGGACGAGTCACTAGCTCTTTAAAT